TCAGGCCCACCCAATGATACGTCTTCTTCCTCAGCCTTTGTAACCTTTGGAATCCTAAACTCTTTCTCCTCTTTACCTCACAAATCCTGCCTCAAGCTCAACTGGGGCATCCTAGATCTGGATGGCTGAAAGAGAAACCTGTTTGGCATTATTATTCTGTTATCCAAATAGAGGTTATAACATATGAATACACAACTCCTGAGCGAGTCTCATATATGACACACGATTATCCAAAGGAGAGTGGCCTCTGAGTGTGGGCTGCGTAGGGTGCCCCTCTGGAATGAGACTCTGGATCCTTCCGGTCTCCACTCTTGTGAGAGAACCTCCAGGGAAGGGTGACCGTACAGGGTGGGTGAGCCCTTCACTAATCATGGAAAGAAACTAGGCAGGAATCCCTTAGAGAGTATGCTATGTTCCACAGGGGTTTCCTTGGCTATGATTCTTTACGACACATAATAATGGGGTGACGATGATGGGAGTTTAAAAAGAAACATCTGTGAGATGTGAGAAAAGTACTCGGATGAGCTGAACCATAAAAAAGGAGGCAGCAGCCGTGTCCCCAGGAGCAGGATTTAGCTGTTCTTCAGGATCAGTTCTGAGTAGTGCCCTTGGGGAGGTCATGTAGCTTATCAATGCCTCAGGTTAGCATATAAAGAAACTCACCTCTCAGAGCTAGGATAAAGCTAAATAATTTAGCTTCTGTAAAGCCCTCAGAAATGAAAGGCACCATAGAAATGCAAATTATTACTTTATTAGGAGACACCATCAATAGAAGGGAAAGTAAAATTTTCCCTTTGATGGAAATCCACATCAGCGGACCGAGAGCTCTGTGCTTCTAGCCAGGGACCAGGGCATCTGACTGCCCAGATAACCGCTCACCCTCCCACTTGGTCTCATCTGTTCTACCTAAGAATTGTCCTTGGTAGTTTCTCTTTGGGGTTACCCCTCCTTTCAGTCTCACATTCCTCAGCAAATTGAACAAAATAAGTCGCCATAAATCCCCAAAGAGAAGCAATGCATCTTCATTACAGTAATTATGCTTTATGAGCAGACTTGTTCATAAAAAGAAATAGGCATCAACATTTTAATTTAAGTTCAAAAGGCAGTAAATTGCTTGTGGCAGTAACTTTAGCTGAAGCCCAGTTGTTAGGAAGGGAACTTGTCTTTTAACCTAGGACAACTTTTTCCGCAGGCTGACCTCTCTGGCAAACAAGATCAGAACCCCACAATGCAGTCCCCCCAACCAGGAAGCAGGTCCTTCAAATCAGCTGCAGGTCCACAGGCTCTGGTCAGCCAGTTACCAAATTAGGGAGAAAACCCAAGTGCTTTTCCACCTTTGAATGTGACCAAGTGGGAATCGACTTCACAACTTCTGCAGCTCGTAATTCTCACCTCTATCAATGATCACATTTTCTTTAAATCTGGATGATGGCTCGACAAAGAATCTTGATGATATTTCCTATACTAGGTAGTCTAGGGGAAAAATTTTACTTTTTTAAAATTGAATTTTCTGGATTATTTTTATTTATTTGGACAATAGAATAAATGTTTATTTTAGGACTATTTGGGAAAAAATATATGTGGCCCCATATATATAAGAATCCCAGGGAAAAAAACGATGAAGGTAACCCTGACAAGCATACTGAATAATACAAATTGTTTTAGTCTATTAAGGCTACTACAAAACAGGGCCACAGACTGACTGGCTTATAGACAATAGGAATTTCTCTCTCACAGCTCTGGAGGAGGGAAGTCCGAGACGCCAGGACCACATGGTCAGCTCTGCTGAGAGCCCTCCTCTGAGTTGCAGATGGTCACCTTGTCCTATGTCCTCTGTGTCCTCACATGCTGAAGAGCTCTTTGGGGTCCCCTTTATAAGGACACTAATCCCATCACGGGGGCTCCACCCTCATGACCTCATCACCTCCCAAACACCCACCTCCTGATAACCTCACATTGGGGTTTAGATTTCCATATATGAATTCTGGGCAGGGTGGAGGGCACACAGACATTTGGTCCATTACACAAATGCTATGACCCTGTGTAAATACTTGCTATTTTATGACATATATACTACTATGTATAAAATAGAGAACCTACTATATAGCTCAGGGAACTCTACTCAGTACTCTGTGGTGACCTAAATGAGAAGGAAATCCGAAAAAGAGGGGATATATGTATACATATAGCTGATTCACTTTGCTGTACAGCAGAAACTAACACAACATTGTAAAGCACCTATACTCCGATAAAAATTAATTAAAAAAAAAATAAGAATCTGCTTGTTCCTAGTCTTGGGAGGCAGAGTGGAATCCTGGCTGTCACTCTTCGTGGGCAGGGGCTGGGCCGATGACAGAGGCAGCCCAGCCTCAGTTTCCTCACTGCCAGACCTACAGGGTGTCCTGTGTGAAATGCACAGCGCCATACATGGCGCCAAGTGGACAGATGATAAATGCTACTGCCATCGCTTTTCTATCAGCACTAGAGAAGTAAAAATGCACACATTGTTAAATAGCCTGTGAATTATTTTATGAGGGAGATTTTGAAATTGAATGCCTCACATTTATCAGAGCATATATCAGTCTGTGGCACCCGAGGACATTTATTCCAGGCGTTTCTGAAGGTGGAAGTTTATGATCATCCAGAGGAATGTTATTAAGGTAATTGCCAGATATGGTATTTCATTAGGAAAGCTAGTTATTACACTCATGCTGTTTATAATATGGGTGATAAAAGCCAGAGAGCCAAGGAATTGGAGTTCTGCTCTTTGCTTATTGCTTGTAATATTGAAAATTTCTTTTACCTGGGTACCTTCTACCTAAGGGACACAAATATACCTAAAACTACCTTATGTCTGTATAGTTCTTACCATACGGTTTTTCAAAGTTTATAATTTAATTTAATTTTATCCTAACAACACCATTGTGATTTGAAGGGGCAATTTTATTCTTCTCTTGTTTGGAATGAGGAAAGGTCGATTCAGGAAAGTTAAATGATTTTCAAGAACTGCTGGGCAAGTTGGGGGCACAGCTGGACCCAAATCTATACCACGTCACTCCACTGCTGGTATGCTCTTCATTCTTCCAGGGATCCTGATTTAGAAAGCTGGCATGATGAGGAAGATGCATTTTACTCACGAAAAACTGCTAACTTCCACTGTGACTGCTATTCTAAACAGAATTTAGAATAGAATTGACATGTATGGGTTTACTGTAATGGATATTTGTATGTCTATGTACACATATATATATGGGCATTTTAACCCCTGCTTCTTGCTAAAATGGTTTTGAAATACAACATAATTAAACTGAGGACAATAAAGCTGTTAAGATAAGATAGATATAGGATATAACCTTGATTCTTGTTTAAAATAGATTGAATTATTAAGAAGGGCATCTGGGCTAGCAGGTCTGTGATCCAAGGATGATGATAAATTCTGTGTTTTAAGTTAGTGACATTGCTTGAGTTTGTGGGAGTTTGCAGTTGGGGACCCAAAACAATGAGCTTCAATCATGTGTGTGGTTAAATAGACCATCTTATGACATTACATTATGGTTGAATTTCTAAGTCGTTTGTGTTTTGGATCCTATGAAATGTGACCAACTTGTTGAGCACTGTATCAAATGTTTTCCATACATTATGTCATTTGTTTTCATTTTCATTGGCACCTTATGATATAGGAATAATCATTATTTTACTGACAAACATACCAAAGCTTCAACAGATCAATAACTTGTCAAGGATCAGAGCAGATAATTCAGAGCTGGAATTCTAATCCAGATCTTTCTGTATCCAAAGCCCTCTTCCCTCCTAAAAACACCCTCTTTGTCATCAGCTAGAAAGTAGGACCTTTTGAGATGTACACTGCAGGGGGGGAAAGACTTTCCCTCTGCCCTCTGAGGTTCCATGGCTCAGTCTACGAAACAAACTGACACCAGGCAGATTAACAGGAGAAAAGGTATATACATTTATCAAATTTTAATATTATGTGCATGAGGGCTTTACAGGACAAAAGGTGACTGCCCAAAGGGGCAGTGAGATTTGAGAGCTTGTCTACAGCCTCAGTTGGGGGAGGAGAGGGGGTGCAGGCCTCTTCGGGGAGAGAACATGGTTTCCAGGGAAGATGAGTGGCCCTTAGAGGACGGATGGGAGGGTGGCAGTTGGTGACAGGGTCTGTCTGGGGGTGGGGTCCACTTCTCGGCTCCTCTCCTGTGACTAGAGTCAGGCTTCCTGGTGGTGAAGCTCCTGAGAGGGGACCTGCGACCCCTGAGTTCCTGTGGAGGCTCTGTGTTCAGGCAGATGAGGGGGTTCAGAGGAAGCTCCCTCTGCATCTGCTGTTTCTCATGTGCCTTCGGGTAAATACAGAGAGCATGACTGCTGGGTCGTAGAGTAGGATTTGTAGTTTGCAGTTTGGTTAGAAACCACCAAACTGTCTCCCAAAGTGGCTGTACTATTTTGCATCCCACTAGCAAGGAATGAAGTTTCAACTGTCCTAAAAATCCTCTGTGCTCATCCTTCCCTCCCCACTACCTCTTGGCAACCACTCATCTTTTTACCGTCTCCATAGTTTTACCTTTTCCAGAATGTTCTAGAGTTGGAATAATGCACACGTGCATGTGTGTGTGTGTGTCTGTGACTGTGTGTGTTTTTATCCATGTGTGAGTATGTGCCTGTGTAGCTCCATTTACTTGCTGCAATCACTGAGGATGCAGGAGGCTTGGATGGTCATGGAACTCGCCACAGGCCGTGTGCACTGGCAGAACCAGGATGTGAAGCCAGCTGGTCACCCACACTCGTATTGGATGGAAAAATGACCCAGATGCCACTCATTTTTTTTTCCAGTTTGAGCAAGAGACATCGACACCCCTAACTAATCAATGAATGTGGCCCTCTTTCCTTATATCTTGGTAATATCACCAGTTAATAATATATGAAAAGACACTTTTTTTTCTATTATTGCAATCCACCTCTGTGCCCTATTTAGGAGGCAGCAGTTTTACCTTAGTGATGAAGAATCACATGCTGGTAAAGGTGAAGCCCACAGCGCGACTCCTCCAGGGCTGCCTCCTGAGCCTCCGGCATCTAAAGGAAGAACATGATCCATTCAGGGCCCCGTTCACAGGAAGTAGGCTTGGGCTTCGGTTAACTCTCCGCCTGGAATCCAGGACCACAGGGCGCCAGCTCAGCACAGATGGCCTCTGGGACACAGAGGACCTTGCACAGGGGCCAGTCGAGCTACGCTGGTCCCGAGCCCCTGCCCTCCCTGCCCCACCAAATGCCCAGCACAAAACGAGGACGAGGAGCTGACCAGCCACCCCGACGCCACCTGGGAGATTCGCTGCCGTGGCATCACCATGATGCCTCACAGCCTGGACCCTGAGGGCGACTCCATCTCCTCCCCAGCCCCAGGCTCCCCTCCTGTTGCCAGGAGGGGCCTCGCCCCTAGACTCCCTGTCACCCAGAAGGCTGAGTCCCCAGAGGCTGCCTCAGTGAGCTAAGCTGCTGTCCCAGAAACACAGACTTGTGTTTGCGGAGCTGTTTATAAACAGCAGATGTTGATTCCTCTCGGTTCTGGATGCTGGACGTCCAGGATCAAGACAGGCAGATTCTGTCCTCACCTGGAGGAAGGGGTGATGGGACTCTCTAATCCCATCGTGAGGGTCCACCCTCATGACCTCATCACCTCCCAGAGGACTCACTTCCTCATTCCATCACCTGGGGAGATGGGATTTCAATATAGGGAATTTGGGGGGACATAAAAACATCCAGTCAATAGCACTTGGGGAGCAGCTGACTCTCCATGGGAGGAAGGGGGTTCTAAACCACCCCACCATCTTCCTGTGGGGAGCATGTTCTAGCCCAGAGTGGGCCTGTCCAGGGTGAAAGTGCTTCAGGGAAATGCCTGGGTGACTCGGGGCCAGGGTGAAGAACTGGGGTGCAGGCGTGTGGGACCTGAGAGACCCCAGAGACTCTCCAGCCCCATCACCACAGCCTCCCACCTCGGGGCCCCCTGAGGGTACACCTGCAGGGAACAATGGATGAGGATGGCAAGACAGCATTCACACCACACAGGCCTGTGGCAGACACTACAGTTTATAAGTTCAAACTAGCTCTCCCATTTCACTGAGGAGAACACATGAGGACAGAACCATGCTCCTTATTACTCAGAAGAAAAACAAAAGCAAGCAGACTCAGGGGCAGAAAGTGTAAAGGATCTGCTTAGAATCACAAAGCTGGTGTAACATAATCATAACGCCAGACGGGCGTTGTGTGTGTGTGTGTGTGTGTGTGTGTGTGTGTGTGTGTGTGTGTGTGTGTGTGTGTGTGTGTGTGTGTTTGTCCTCCTGAAGGACTCTTCCCTCCCCCCACCCGACCTCTCCACTCCAGGCAACATCCACCTCTTTCCTTAAACTCTGAACCATGCAATCATGCCCTAACTAAAGAGGATCCTTGCATGAATCTCTGAATTGCTGGTGTGACTGTATGTGTAGATTTACATAATCAGCAAAATTACAATCTTTGGTACGTCACAGACCAAGTCGAGGTGATAAGCACCTTCTAAGCATTTAATAAATCAGTAATTGATCGTTCCTCAGTATGAAGTATGAAAAGCAACTGAATGCACCTTAAAGGAGATGAAAGTTCACTATCTTCACATCTCTGCCGTTTAGGGGGATATTTCTTTATAAAACGTATAACCTTTTTTCTTTTCTTGAAAAAAGCAATACCTCTCAACAATAAGAAGATTAAAAATGGGCCAAAGATCTTAACAGACGCCTCACCAGAGAAGATATACAGATGTATACAGATGGCAACTAAGCATATGAAAAGATGCTTCACACTATATGTCTTCAGGGAAATACAAATTAAAACAACAAGATACCACTACACTCCTATTAGAATGACACCGATAACACCAAATGCTGGTGAGGATGTAGAGCAACAAACACAGGCACAGACACCTCAGAAGGTGACGGTATTTGGTTGACAGGGTCTTTACAGAGGAGACTATGGTAAAATGAGGTCATGTAGGTGGGGCTCTAATCCCATAGAACTGGTGTCCTTATAAGAAGAGGAGATGCAGACACAGACACACACACAGGGACAACCACGTGAGGACACAGGGAGAAGATGGTGTCTACACCGCAAGGAAAGAGGCCTCAGGAGGCACCAGCCCTTGCTGGTGATGCCTTGATCATGGACTTCAGCCTCCAGGCCTGGGAGAGAATATACGTCTGTCGTTTAAGCCACCATCTGTGGTGCCTGTTACGCAGCTCGAGTTGACTAACACCCCTGGAATGGCACAAAGCTTGGGAGGTCTAGAGTAACCAGCAGGTGAGAGATCCCAACAGGCATGCTGGGTCCCCAGCTCCTTAGGGAAACAGACTGGCAGCCACAGCCTCCATGCCTCCCCTTCGATCAGAGCATGGACACCCCACCAGAGTGGGGTCAGGACCAGCTTCTCACAGAGCTGTGTGGCAGCAGGCAGCCAACCCTTCCTGTAGAGGAAACATAAGAAGCAGCCAAAGTGGCCGAGTCGAATGACGCTCTGCTCGATTCCTTCTCCCTCCATGGCGTGTCTTTCACTGCCTGGGCACTTGCAGCAGGAGACCACCATCCTCTGACCTGTGTTCGTTCCACACTGTTGAGGGTCAGTCACCTGGCCCTCCGGGGAGATAAGCGTTAGGCCCAACAGTGTGAAGGAAGGGGAAAGTAACTGACGCATCACCTGAGCAGAAGTGGTGCGTGGTGCGCTGTGAACCTCATGTCCACGCACATCTGATATGGAGCAGGGAGGGGAGAGGAGGACGTGGGAGGGGTGGGACACGATGTCTCCAGCCAGCAGGGAGGATGGCTCTGGAAGTGGTGGTCCAGCCTCAGCCGAGATGTCCCCATCATGGTGCCCTGGGGCCCAGCTATGGTGCATTGTCTGCTCTGCCAGGGCCTGGGGGCGCCTAATGGACGCACTGCAAACCCTGAGTGCGATTTCGTGCTTCCAAAATGAGGAATGGCTTGGATCAGGGTCTTTCAAACGGCATTCCAAGAAGTGCCAGGTTTTCCTGGGGGTGTCTGGGGAGAGCAGGGGGTGCCCAGAGGGTGCGGTCAGCTCGGGTGGCCATAACAAGGCTCCCCGACTGAGGGTTTCACCACCAGTCCTGGAGGCTTCAAACCCGAGGTCCGGGGGTCAGCAGGGCTGCCTTCCTCTGAGGCCTCTCTTGGGTGTGTAGACGCCATCTTCTCCCTGCATCCTCACGTGGTCATCCCTCTGCGTGTGTCTGTATCCTGATCTCCTCTTATAAGGGCCACCAGTCCTACGGGATCAGGGCCCATCCTAGTGGCCTCATTAATCACCTCCTTAAATCCAGTCATATTCTGAGCTCACAGGGGTTAGACTTCAGCTGATGAGTATGGGGAGGACACAATTCAGCCTCAAACATCCCCTTTTGTATCCTTCTCTTTAAAAAGAACCTCTGGGGACTTCCCTGGTGGCACAGTGGTTAAGAATCCACCTGCCAATGCAAGGGACACAGTGTGATCCCTGGCCCAGGAAGATTCCACATGCTGCAGAGCAACTAAGCCTGTGCACCACAACTACTGAGTCTGCATGCTACAACACTGAAGCCCGCTCGCCTACAGCCTGTGCACCGCAACAGAGTAGCCCCCGCTCGCTGCAACTAGAGAAAGCTGGCACACAGCAACGAAGACCCAATGCAGCCAAAAATAACTGAATGAATAAATAAATTTAAAAAAAATAAAAAGAAGCTCGTGTTTATCTGTGTTCACAGGCTGTGGTTTGGGGTGAAACTCTGCCTGTGAAAAAGGCTTGGCTCAGCACCAGCCTGTGAAGCAGTGAGATGAATGGACTCTGCATCTCCTGCAGGCCTTCAGCAAATGCTCCTCACCTTCCTCCACCCTCTGCCCCCTTCGACTGAGACTCAGGAGAACGGAGGTCTGGGGACAGGACATGTGGCATCTCCAGTAACCGCAGGGAGCCTGCCCTTGGGTGATTGGCTGGGGCCCCACCGGGAAACCCCGAGGCACCGGCCACACATGCCCACACAGACCTCTCCCAGCCTTGAACTCTGGGCGGTAGGAGACAGAGGCAATTTCCACTTTTCGTCTAATTCAGCCAGAGAATGAGGCTGTCTTCCCCTGATGTCGGTTTTGGCTTTTTGTAGCTATGACGGGACGGTTTCCTACACTCCTGAATTTCCTAATTCAGGAGAAGCGTGCATTTCAGAAGGCCAAGTTCACCCTCCAATTTGTTGGGTGCTGGGGGCCACGTGGGCTCTGCTTCTGCAAGGTTCTGAGCCACAGTGCGAGTAGGACTCAGTCACGGGAGTTGGGGGGCTGCCCTTAAAGGGGCCACGGAGGACTTGTGTCATCACCCTCAACAAGCTGCATCCCCTACCCAAACGACCTGCCGACCAGGGGCTGAGCTGGACAGCTGTGGCTGCAAGGCCCCCGGCAGGCCCTTATCAACCACCTCCTGGTTTTACCGAACAACAAAAAGAGGGGGAGGAGCCTCAGTCACCTTCATCATCTAAGCCCAGAAACCAGGGCTTCCCTCCCAGCACACGGGGAGGTTCTCCTGGCTGGACACATGGACAGGGAGTACCAGAAGACGACAGGAAACAAGGCCCACGTCCAGTCCACACGGCCTTGGGGACAGGCAAAATAAACAGAAATGCTATCAAGGCCACTCGCACGTTCTGCGTCTGTCCCGCTGCCTGGCCCCTCTCCCTTCCCCGGGTTCCCTGAGGGTGTGGCGCTGCTGAGACCCTCGACGCCTGGCAGCTGGGATGGCCTCCTGCTGGCCTCACCCGATCCATGTGGGCCCCACGCCCCGGACAGGTGCATGGCCAACAGCACATGCAGGGCGACAGACTCTGCCTCCGAGGCCAGGGGACACCAGTACCACCTTGGCACCTGAACCCCAGTAGTGGGGGCTTCTCTATTCCTACAGGGAAATTTCTTCCTAATCCCCTACTAGCCAGGACACTATTTGGGGTCTTATTTTAGAATCTGTTCTGTTTGAATTCGAGCCCTGATGCCCCCTAGGACTACAAGCAAAGACTCCT